AAAAAAAATAAAAGTCCACTTTATTTAATTTGGAATAGCTTTTTTGATTTTGTTGACAAGTTTAATTTTCTTCATAAATTATCCAATCAAATTATCTTTTTTTTAAATAGTTTTTACAAACAAAATAAATAACGACACATTTAATTATAAGGTAAACCTTTTGAGCCCGCATAGCATGTGTATTTATATTTTTAAAGTTTACCGGCTACTGAAAAGTTCATTGTATGCGGCTGAAAGCGATGGCATCGCTAGTTGGCAATTGACATAGCCCGAAGAGTGTCTCTTGTGGTGTGCATAAAAATTTTCCGCCAATTAATCTTGATAAGGGCTTTTCAGCAATCGCAATAAACACGGCAATAATCATAACTAACACAAAAGACAACAACTGCCCGGCCAACTACAAAGCACAGATAATTTGGCCAAGTCGAAAACAAAAAACTTTCACATGCCCTACGATGGGGGAGCGCTCACATGTAGGGCATTTAACCGTTAGATAAATGTTGACGAGGTCAATGGGCGTAAAACGGAGTTATGGTCGGGAATCAGTCGGGGCCCAGCGACACGTACAAATAAAATAGATGCCAGGACAACTTTTGGGCCATTAGCTGAGCGTATTTAAAGGGGAGCCAGAGAGACAGAGAGAGAGAGTGTATAAGATATGGAAACACAGAGAGAGAGAGAGACAGACAAGGAGAGAGAAGACGAGAGTTTGGTAGCTACACGGACATTACGTGCCTAGCCAATAATCTCTGTCAACATCAATTTGGTGTGGGCCTGAGCAACTGAAACTAATTAAATGGTGTCCCATAAATTGCACATTAAACCAAATTTATTGCATGCCCGAAATCGAAATTATTGCCAAAGTCGCGAGACGTTTAATAAACTTGGCCAGCAATTTGGCCCGCAAGCTGGCATACGTGTCGCGATCGTAGCATACTTTACAGCGCAACCAAATTGTGATTTATACGCCAGCTTATCAGACTTGCGACCGAGTTGTTGGCAGAACCGCCACACCGGCTGCCTTAAAGTCAAAATATTGCCATAAAGAGCAAATGCGGGCTAGTTAGCAAGCTTTTCACTTTGCTGGCTTTCGTCTTGTTTCACCTTTTTGCTTTGATTTCTTGAAGTTTTCTTTTCGTCATTTGGCATTAGCACAGCTCTTGTTAACTCAACAACAATTTGTGCTAACGATGTCCGTGAGCAATGGAAAAAACTGCCATGGAACCTGGCACGTGGCCGCAGTGATCCGTAACTGTGTTTGGTCGGTCGATAGTAGCTAAGCCCTCGGATTGCCCACGTGTCATGTTTGTGGGATTGATTTTTACTTCAACCTGGTTGGCTCTCCTTTTGTGTTTTATTGTAAGATTATTTTAATGATTTTTTTGCTTGTTCGCAATCATAACTTGCTTTTTGTGCTGCATTCAGCTTGATTTCTGGCTAGCAGCAAAGTTGGAAACAGTTTGCTAAGCTTCAGAGGCAAAATGTTTGACGTTATCATTCAAATGCAGCCCTTGGTTGGCTCGACTGCTCCTGCTGCTGTCTGCGGTTGAAACCTACAACTGTCAATTGCTGCAGCTGACAGACTTACGCCTTGACTCCTGCATTTTTTAACCTCTGATATTTTGGCTACAATCTTGGAAAGACAATAGTACCAATAATAATAGCGAGCTTAAAATAATAATTGCATTAACGTTTAAAAGAAAAGATGCAATTTCATTCCTTCTTTCATGTGTACAATTCGTTTAACAATAGAAGTTGCTTGCTTTAAGTATTTTCAAATTGAATTCACTTTAAGCTCATTGGCTGAGAAAATATTTTAATCCCAAGATGAAATATATGTCTTAGCTTTAAGCCAACTTCACAAAAGTGGACCACACTTTCTTATTTATTTATGATTTATCTTTCCTTTAAAAGCAGACCCGCAAACGTGTTCACATTTCCTCATTTTAGCTAACCAGAACGACCTTAAAGCAATTTGACTTTGCGCAAATCCAACTTATCACGCATTCGCCCAGTTATCCAATATCAGCTGCTCGTTTGGCTTGTATATATTTTTTTCCGTCCTCCGACTGGAGTTTGCTCTGCAACTATTCTGCTGCTGCTGAGAACATTTGCACAACTTGATGCAGGCCAATGTGGTTTTCATTCTGCCATGTGGCAAATGCGACACAAAGTTGCTGCATGCCGCTCGTTGGTTGCGTGCGACAACCGATAGAGCATAGACATGGCAGCCATGCTGCATTTTCTTTTTTTCTCTTCTTTTTGCTACAAGCAAATCCAACTCTACGTTGCTGCTGCTCTAAAAACATTGTCACGTGGTTTTTGTATTTAGTTGCATCGCCCATTCAGCAGGGACTCAGGGCTGCCAAGGGCATGAGCATGAGGATGCCATGGCCAGATTGCTTACCTGACTGCCAGTCGCTGCTGTCGCTTTGCACGGGCGAATGCTTTCCTTCTTCCTAAACTGCAACAGTACAGAGTGGGCGGCTGTTACCTCTTGCAGCGCCCTTTGCAGAGCCAATGCAATAAATTCTATTCTACGTTTCGTGTTTCGCATTGTCAGACGGCGCCATTGTGCTACAACTTTATATTGCTGGTATTTGTATGCGTGTTGGCAATCGTTGCTGTTGTTCTTGCAGTAGTTGTTGTTGCTGTTGATGTCCTTGCTGTAGTTGTTGCTGTTGCTGCTTTTGTTGTTAGGGAAATTGAAATAAATGTGTGTGTAAATGCGTCAAAATGAAGTTCTGAAAATGTTTTTGCCAGTGACAAGTGTCAATTAGAAAATGTTCAATTACATTAAAGCAGACAACAGCAGCCACAACAACAATAGTGCCCGGCTATAATAACAAACTACAGCAGCAGCAACTCCAACAATAGGCAGATCAAGTGGTTCTTTGGACCAGGCAGCCACTACTTGAGGCCATTGTCATTTGGATTTTCATTGTTGTATCTTGCTCAGTACAAAGATAAACCAAAGCAAACGGAGACAGTGAGCGATAGAGAGAAAGACAGGGAAAGAGAGAGATGGACAAAGTTGGAGATACAGATACAGGACACGACACGGACAAGTTGCCAGATAAATGTAATTAGTCGCACCCAGAGTTGGCTCTAACAAGAGTTGGGCTTGAATAAATGCACAGACTTGGCATAAAATACACTGAGGAGCAACGCCGGACCACAAATTGGACTATTAACTAACAGACTTAACAGAGATATTGTTATGTTCTTGGCAGATATATGAAGATAATTGAAAGAAGTTAATTCATAGATAAAACAAAAAATATTCTTAAGCTTTTTAATTGCTCACAAAATTATAAAAAAATATATACTTTTTCGAAGTATTTTAAATATTTGAGCTCTGCTAAAAAGCTTTTCTACTCACACTTCTGTTCGCTAATATTCAGTTGTAATATTTTTCAAATTTCCATTTCCATAAGCATCTGTTTAATTTGGTGGTTAGCATGGCGTATGCTTAATATGCCATACCTACACTTCATAAACGGTCTGCTAATTAAATAAGTAAAATATTAATTAATAAATGTTGGCGTCTGCTTGGCGAGGAGCAACAACAGCAGCAACAGCATCAGCCTTAAATCTTATAACTTGACGTTGCAGGTCTTGCAATTAAGCAAATGATAAATCTATCATTATGTGGGCACTGTGGACTTGTAAGGGGTCAAGCGAAGGGATAAATGTAATTGTTGCGTGCGGTCAGTAGGCCACAAGTTGTTTGCTATTGTTGTTCGCTGCGTGTTCGTCTGGCTGTGTCAAGCGCATGTCCAGCTGCGTTTAACATGACGAATACGCGATAATTCCCCACGCTCTATTGAGCTGCCTGCAACGGGGCTGCAACATATTCGCTGGTATTTATAATCTGCTCATTATTTGTATTTAAATAGGCACCCTCCCTGATGCCCACAACGATTCCATCTAATGCCCATCTGTTATGTGTTTGGTTGCCGTAGCTTTTGTTGCCATTGTTGTTGTCTGGCTGCTTGGCTGGCCAACAACAAATTGAAGGGAAATGATTCCATTTCATGCTAGATTAAACATGTGTCCACATAATTTATCGATTATTTATCATGTGGTCGCCCGTTTGTTTGTGGACAAACTGACGCACCGTCTGCTGGGCACAGCCGAAAGTACTGTAAGTGTGTGTTTATCTGAGTGTGTGCGCGTTCTTGTATCGGAGTGGGTCTGGCTGGGTGTGGGCGTAGGCCTTTGCCATGATATTGCGCACACAAGTGCAAAATTAGAAACAAAAGCTTAGCCCAAGGCGCTTTCAGGCTATTTACTTCATGTGATTCCCAGCGCAGTTGTTAGCTCGCAGCAAACAGTTCGCAGTTCGCTGCTCGTAGTTCTTGTGGGCGCTGTAGCTCGCTTTTTCTATGCTGTACGCATTGCATTTTTAACGTGCACACGCAGTATTGAAAAACATGAAAATGGCAGCCATTTTGTAATCCGCATGCGGCTGGGTAATCACCTCATCCAGCTTCCCTCACGTGCGGCGGCGTTTGGCCGGGTTTTTGCGGCACATTGGCGCATTATGTGGCCAGCTCTATGGATGTTGTGATTTTGTTGTTGTTGTTTTTATTTCCAGCCTTTTTTCTACTATTTTTCTTGTTTTTTATTTGGTGCTGGTCACTCGATCGATACTTTAAAGCTTAGCCAAATGGCGTGGCTGTGTTAAGCGCATGAAACTATTCCAGCGAGAGGACCGCAATTGCCAGCTTTAGCTGTTCTAAACGCATTATGGCACAGCCACAGCCACAGCCACAGCTGTCATGGTTTTATCTAATTTGCCAAAAATAGTTTGCATTGACGGAAGTGTGGCTTCCAATTGATTGTTTCATCTGTGGCTTTATATTAAAGTATAAAAATGTATAGCAAATTTAAAGAAAACGAACAGTTCTGACTTAGGGAAGTAAACATAACGAAACTCATTTGAATTTGTAGCAATATTATTTAACTATAAATATCATTTATTTCTGCCTTTTCAGATGGGGATATTCTGCGAGTTCTTGTTAATAATTCGGCTCAAATTAAATGCGATGTGGGCTCCAGCTTACCAGAAGACAAAGTCCTGCTGGTTGTTTGGTACAAAAACAATTTGCCCATTTACAGGTAGGTTCATTAAGGCACAGCTTATATGTTAAGTAATGCTTATACACTTATTATGTTGCTTAGCTATGACACACGTGGCGCTCACGCAGGCACGCCTTCGCATTGGAGAGATGAGGAAGTACTTGAAGATCGGGCTGTCTTTCGCACTCACAAGGAACCCGCGGAATTGATTATAAATCCGGTGAAGGTAAGCCCAAGCCCAAAAACGACAAAAGCCAAAGGGTCAACAATACAACATTCCCTAATTGAATTTTTCATTCTGCCCCACAACACAATAGGAAAAGGATGCGGGCAATTTTCGCTGTCGCGTGGACTTTAAGCTATCGCAAACCAGGAACAGCAACGTCAACTTGGAAGTCGTGGGTGAGTATACAATATTGGGAAAATAATATTTTCGTGTTAACCGTAATAATAATTCATCTATATATATATAATATTTAAAATGTTTCTTTGAATACAAATCTAAAGTTTTCTATATAATTTATTTCTTTAAATTTTCTTTGATTAAGAGTTTTTTGATATTATTTTATATTTATAAATAAAATATAATAGATTTATTATCTCGATTTTCGAATTATTTTTAAATCGAATTAGACTTTTTATGAATAATTAAAAAAATTGAATGTTAAGCGTCTGTTGCGATCAAGTGAACAAATTATTTGATGTGCGCAAAGGAGTTATTTTATTTCTTAATTTGAATCGAGCTTTAGTAAAATTAATGAAATTTAAGAAACTAAAAACTAACTTTTGTTCATTAAGTTATATATATAATATTGATAAATATATGATATTGATATAAAATGATATTTATATGTTATTTTAAATGGCTTTCTCTTGATGTTGAAAAAGTAAAATAAATTTGAAATTCTGGCAATTTACTGTTATAAATATTTATTTTATGTAAATTATTTGCCTGTTGACACGTCAAGTGGTACAAAAAAAGTGTAATTAACAATTATTGCCTTTTTTGTGCTGTGGACAGCACACATAAATTAGCTGAAATGATTTTTGGTTAGCCGCAAAGCAAACAATTTAATATGCAAATCGATGTGCGTGTGTAAATATAGCATATCCTAAATGCATGTGGATCTATGTAAATATTAACTGTAGGGAAATTTCCTTTGATGTTGCGTAACGCACAAATTGTATGTGATTTGCGGCTGGCGAATGTTTTCAAAATGTCAATTTGGGTCTTTGGCTTAGTCTTAATTGATTGGGCAAATGGATGCGCCATACAACTAATTGGTCAATTTCTATTTCCTATTTTTAGTGCCCCCACAGCAACCGAATATTTACAATGAGCGTCGCATGCGCATCGATTCCCGTGCAGGTCCCTACGAGGAGGGCGGCAGCCTGGAAGTGACCTGCGTCGTCTATGGCGGTAAGTAGCCAAGTTTTTGGGCATTAAGAATCCACATAGAACTTTTCCCGGGGCTGCCTTTGTGAATTGCAATAAGCAATTAAACTTTACAAGCATCGTTAAAACATAAATTTTCGCGAACGAAACTTATCACAAATTAAAATCTCGCTTGTGAAATGAAAAACAATTCGCTAAAGGTGGGGCGGGAGAAGGTGTCCTGGTGCTCCAAACAATGGGCCGCGGTATAAACAACAAATAATAAATAAGGTAAATAGCATTGTAATTGTAAGAGTGAGCCCAACAAAAGTCAACGAACATAAAAACTCAATTGAAAGCAAATGGCAAATTCCAAAGTCATTTTCTCAAATATATATACAACGCGCACAAAAGGATTAAAAATTATCGAGCTGTTTGGCGCAGAGGCAGAGAGAGAATGAGAGAAAAGAGAAGGAAGCGGACAAAGGAGACGGAAACAAATAGAAAAGAAAGAAAAATCTGCCTTTGAGCATAGCCAAACAATTGTTAAGCAAATAAAAGGAAGCAGCTGGCGGGCGACAGGCAACAGGCTTTTCTAGCATTGAAAACATAAGCGACAGGCTGACAACTGGCAGTACAAACAAACCAACACACAAACATATGTGCCGCACAACACTTAAGTCAATTGTTGATAACGAAAACCAACGAAAAAAAAGAAAACAAAATGCCAATAGTGAAAAAGAAAACTCGACGCTGGGCAATGTGGGCCTTGTGTTTCAGGCTGCAATCAAACAACAATGGGTTACACTCGCAGTAAGTATGTCACACTCAACACAGCAACAAAAACAACAATAACAACGAGAGGAAGAACAACAGCAATCGCGTGCTTTATCGCTGCGGACTGCGAACTGCGAGCCACGAACTGGCGAAACTCTCTGGGCAAAACGGAAGCGAAACCACTTTGAATGGTTTGCCATGTCAACGTTGACATAAAATAAATCACTAGCAAGAAAACTGCACTCCAGACGGCCAACTGCCAACTGGCAACTGGCAACCGAGCTTAACCGAACGAGTTGCCCTAGCCCCTCTTTAAGCTCCGATACAACCACAAAAAATTGGGCACTCTAACTGTTGTGTGTGCCAATTAAGCAAAGCCAAGAAATTGTTGCTAAACGACCAATGCGACCATATAAAAGTACAAATGTGAATACATATTGCAAGAGTTGGAAGCAGATGGATGCAGTAGGAAGGGCAGCCTGCGCTAAAAGTGGGTTTGAACCTGCCAGGAGAAGCACTTGGTCAAGCCGGCTGAGAGCCAAGCTAAAGTAATTTTGAAAGTGAATAACAAATGAACAGCCAATGGAGCATTATAAATATTAATGAACTGAAATTCGAACTTTTTTTAATGGAGTATGAGAAATAATTAGTGGACATCAATAATATATATGACCGCTAAATTGTAGTAATGTTTCGTGTGGATGTGACAGAAAACAAAGCATATTTAATTATAGTAAACTTTAAGAATATTTAAATATATAAAGTAACACTTCTGCTACTAAGACTTCTCTCCAGTCATTAAAATATTTGAGTATATATCTAGAATACACTTAATTTGACAGCTTGCTATACCACACACCCAGGCCAGGCTCATAAAGCTCGCTAATTTGCAAGAAAAAATGATGTGTCAATTTGAAAATCTATGCAATTAAATGCTGAACAGAAGCCGGAAATAAATTACTGGCAATATGCTCAGCTGGCAATCAGGAAAGACAGCACAAAGGGAACAAATTCGAAACCGGCGCTCAACATGCAAAGTCCATTACAAAAATTGCAATTGTGTGTGGGTTACAGTTACAGTTACAGAACGATAAAAAAAAAAACAAAAAAGAAATAATAAAAAGGGGAAGCTTCACAATGAAGAAAAAAGCAGTTGCCACTTAAAGAAGTGCAATCACCAGAAGTAAGTCGAAGCGAAGCAGTTGGTTGATGGGGCTGGCAATGAGCGCGCGCCTATCCAAGTAATTTGGACTGCTCGGGTCGCTTAGGGGTGTGCGAAATCGGGAAAGTAGCACTAAATTTTATTGCAGTTAGAAGTGGATGGGGCCATGGAATAGACCGAATAGACCCGACACTGGCAACAGTTGCAAATGAGCGCGACACGCCAACGGCCGCCAAATGCTAGAGTAGAAATAAAGTTATAAAGCCGTACACTCTGTGTGGGTTGTAAAAATTACCAAGCGCCGCTCTCCTCTGCAACCATTAGGGATCATAGAGCATAAGCTCACAGCTCAGCGCTGTGACTAGATGGCAACGCCACTAAAAGAACTACGGCGAGGGCCCAACTGCTAATGCATAATATTTCGCGTTGCCTACTTTTTGGCACGCCATGAATTTAACACACGCTGTGTGTGTGTGTGTGTGAGTGAGTGTGTGTAGCAAACGGAAGTGCAGGCGTTTTCCGCTTTTGCCAAAGTGCGCCGCTGACATAGTAAAAATATTCTTTTCTTTTTTGTTGTTATGTTTCCCACACTCTTACACACTCCTGCTGTTGCTGCTGCTGCTGGCCCTGTTTGCAGGTGTTGTTACTGTGGACAGGTTGTTGGCTACAAAATTGTGTGCATTTTTATTAAAATTTTTCTTCTATTTTGCCATATTTTGTGCACGGAAATGTAACAATACGGCTAACCTGGCAAGAAATTGTTTACCACAAAGCGAAGGCAACTAAAAAAGAAAGGAAACAGAAACACGGAACGGAATGAGAGGAAGAGGGAGAGAAAGAGAGCGTAAAAGGACTCCCTTATAAAATGCATGCTACAAATTTTGCAACTGCTTTGAATAATATTTCATACACTTTGCACTTATTACGATGGCCTTTAAATATACCATCATTCTCATTGGTAAATTTTGTGGCTTTAACCGCCGCCAGCTGCATTACCTAAAGTGGGCGTGGCGCGCTTGGAGGGCAGTCACATGAAGTAAAATTTGTTTACCATTTAGAGAATGAAGTGATATTAAAATGGAAGTCTATAAAATAGCAGCAGTAATGGCTTAGTAAAGTGTATTTTTATGGAGAAACTTTAAGCTTAACGCAATGGGTATGAATGGAAGTAAGAACAAGGAAAGAGGTTGCTCGGCTTAGTAGATAATTAAAATATTACCAAATTCCCGATAGAAATATATTAAAAAATTTTCAATGCAGTTTTTAAGGCGAATATTGGAATGGCTTACTCCAGCAGCCCTTCAGCGTCGCACTTGAAAGAGATTTGCTTTTCACTCCACACTGTTCTGTTAGTTAGCTCTTCTGCTAGCGGTCGCAATTCGCATTAAAATTCAGCAAAGTTTTCGACCCCATGCAGATGTCTGTTATTGTACCAGCTAAATGCGGCAACACTCACTGCGCAGCGGGAGGGAAAGTTGCCACGCCCCTGCCTTTTTTCGCCCTCCAACTCTGTTGAACAAATGACAACTTAGCAATTCAAGAAGAGATTGAATGCAAGTTGTTTCCTGCTTGGCTAGCGGCTCTTAAAGCGATGGCAGCAGTCTTTAAGTTTATTTTACAGCTTCCTCAATGGCTGTTGGCTGGGCACAAAAAGCCAAATGCCAAACACCAGACAAACAGAAACAGAAATACAAATACACACAAGCACTGTGAGACAAAGGGAGAGGGTGAGAGAACCGAAAGTGTAGAAAAGACAACAGCATAAAAAATATTTATGTGGCAGTGCACTTTTGTTACTATCAGCGGCAGCAGCAGCAGCAGTTGTTTTTGTTGTTGTTTCACTCGCTTTTCTATCTGAGACACAGTCACATATATATGTATAAGTTAATGTTTTGTGCCTTCTGCTCTCGGCTGGTGCTGCTAGTATCACCCACGTAGCAGATGCAAAAGATGCAAAGATATGCAAAGCTAAACAAGCAAATATTTCAGAATTGCATAACTAAGGCAAGTCCACACATGCACACTGACGTACGTGTGACTCTCTCTTTTTTCTCCCACTTTCGCATTCTAATGCTATCCATGAGCGAATAGCACAATGAGCAACGAAAACACAGCCAAGGGACGCGTGCCTTGCGCTTAAAAGTATGCAAAGACTTTAAGTTCGTCTGAAGTTTGCATAACTACCATAAAAAAAAGAGGAGAAAAGAAAAAACTGGCACCCATTTGAATACTGCCGCTCATTAGGGCCGAATGGCGGGGGCTGAACGGCGGCGGAGGTGTTTGCACTGGGCGTGACAAAGCAATGTTAAAATGTCGCTGCTGGCACAAAAACCCGCTTTAGCCTGCTCTAAAAATATAGCTGCACTTGCAAGAACTAAAAAAATGAAATAGAAATTAAGGCTAGGTGGAAGAGAGTTCATACCTCCAAGATACTCTGTACAAAGTAATACAAACAGCAAATAAGAATTTCTAACGTCTGAGTGACTAATGAATGCTCACTAGATAAACAGCAAAGATTCTCTACACAGAATCACCCAATAGTTGAGCATGCTCTCAGTGGAACGTTGTCTACTTACAGGGTATATGTGGAAAAACGTAAATCTGCAAACATGCTATATATGTGTGTGTTCATTGCAATGCAAGTCAGCTGCTGTGCCAGGCATGAAAGGCACATAGAGAGCACATATTCATACATACACACACACGGGTGTGTTTGTCGACGTGTGTGTGTGTGTGCATGTTTGTGTGTTGGCACCTTGTGTTCAAATTAGACAAGCTGAAAACAGCTGGCACGACTTTAAAATGAAAGCGCAAGTTGAGCCAAGCGATAAACACGACAAATGCTGCCCATAAAAGACAATGGCTAAGGGGTTTGGGCGAGGCTGTGAGCGGGGCAAAACAAACGTCTGGACGCTAATTAAATTTGCACTCCTCGCTGGTCGGAGGCGTCGGGGTAGGCTAAGAAGTAAAAGTGAGTCCAAGGCAAATTAGTTAAATTTATGTGCGAACTGCACGCACATTGCCCCAGCCAAGAGAGCAGCACGTGGCCAGCCTGCAGCACTCACTTCAATTGCTTTCAGCTAGCGAAACGGAAAGAAAAACTGCATTGCCAAATCAAATTTGGTCGTTCGCCATTTTTGTTGCTGCTTTATTGCCCGTTGTACTATCTGCCTCTCGCTCGCTTCGTATCGAGTGCTCTCTTTCTTTGTTGCTGTTCCAGGAAGGCTAATAAATCACAGGCGACCATTAAGCCGCATACTACATATGCGCTAATCTACTAACACACACATATGCAGACAAATGCTGCGACCTCAAAACACACATGTGCATGGCTGTGTATGCGTGTGTGTGTGTGTCTATGTGTGTGCATTCGTTTGAGTGTGTGAAATATTTTCATAAACAACATAAAACTCGACCAAATGGCAGTTATTAATCAAAGTAATGTGCGTTTATTTGTATGTGTGTGGGTGTTTGTGTGTGAGTATGCGTGTGGCATTTTTCATAGGTATCAAGTGCAGTTAGTTTTGCTCAATTTCCAGGTGGATTTAATGGCACTTGGCAACATAGGACAACAACAGCACGTTTAGCTGGCAATATTTGTGCACATTAAATAAATATACTCGAATAATATATTAAATATAATGATAGTCAAGCAGCCTAGTTGAATATAAGAAACACCAACTAGACTACACGCTGCAAAACGAAGCCACGAAAGCTGTCGGGGAAAATAATCATAGAGTCTCATAAAATGAAGTGCCAAAGAGTTCAGCTCGGAAGTTTCTTGAAGTCTTTGACAGAGCTAAATAGCTGCACAAATAAAGTCTTCAGATTACATCACATGTAAGCAAATTCGTCAAGATGATAGCACAGCTAATTATAGTACCATTACAGCACACAACAAGTGCTCAGTGGGGTTCATAGGTGATTTCACTAACAAATTCTTGACTCAGCTACCTTTCGTACAGTGTATATATTATTTCTCTTTTTTTGCTGAGCTGTAGATCTGGCCTGGCCGCCGCTATTAAATTAATGTGCGCTCATATACGCACACAAAAGCTAATTTCAGTGCTTGATTAAGTTGGAGTCGTTAAGAATGGCCAAGTGCCACACGCTGTGTATGAGTAATGTGTGTAGACTTAAGTGCCACAGCAGCGACAATGCTGATAGCATCTAGCTAGCTGACGAGCGTAACATAGGACTAAATTGGAGACACAAATCAATGAGTAATTACTACTACAATTGCAGGCGAAGCGAACAAATAGCAATTGCCACAGGTGCCCAACATATTTATTCATATTTCATGCAAGGCTTAAGACAAAAGGCTGTCATATGAGTTCAGTCTAAAGCCGACACTTCAATATTTACATTTTTCAGCTTAAGCAAAGGTGCTTCAACCTTCAATTATTCATATTTGTCAAATCAAATCCCTGCAACTATTAATTACTTAGTATTACATATGCGCAATGAATGTCGAAAAACGACATTCAATGAAAGTTACGACAATTTTCAAGTTTTCTCATTCGCTTGTGTATGTATTTGCTTTGAAAATCCTTACAGGCTCGCCGCCGCCTACTGTCACCTGGCTGATGAATGGACAGCTGCAGAATAGCGTCGTCGATTACACCTACGACGGCACCATCAACAGCAAATTGGTGGTGCGCAACTTGTCTCGCATCCACCAGCATGCGGTCTACACGTGTCAGGCGAGCAATTTCCACAAGAAATACGTGGCCACCAACATAACTATTGAGCTCTATCGTGAGTATTCTCAGAAATACACAATATATAACTTTAGCTATGACTACATATAATCCTTTTATATATAATTATGTGTGCTCTGACTGCGGGTTGGGCCACTTTCAACTGTGAATTAAATTGAAAATTTTTAAATTGAGTTTCAAGTGCTTGCAGGCGTCAACAACAACAGCAACAACAACCTCAACAACAACTATACGAAATATGGTGCTAAAAACGGTTTGGCAAACAGTTTATTTAATTTTTATTTTCCCTTTTTTGTTCGGCTCAACCTGCAGCACGGTTTTAAGCGTTGCGATAAAACTTTTAACAAATAGCTGTGCAGATAAAACCCATTCACAGCCAACACGGAAAAAAGGAATAGTCGAAAGGCACAAAAAAATATAATAGATAATAAAATAGCTTATGTAAATATTAAAAATAAAAACCATCAAACCAACAAAAAGCAACAACAAATTCTCTTTCGTGCGTCTGTTCGATAGAGCTGAACTCTACTCACGCATGGTGGCAGCTGTTTTTAGGTTGGACATATTTTGTTTTGCCAAAACATTTGTCGAACTTAACTCAAACATACAGAGAGAAAAAGAGAGAGAGAAAGAGCGAGAGAGAAGCAGTTAGACACACATAGGCATGCATAAATTTGTTTTATCCAAGTGAATTTCCAAACGGATTTATTGTTTCGCGAACATTTTTTTAATTGCATTTTCGCGCGACACTGAATCGCATTGCAAATTTTGAAATTGATTTAAATTGCAACCAATTTGTGTCTATCTGTGTGTGAATGGGAGAAGTTCAGGGATTGATCCTGTAAGCCTTATTAGTATTTACTCACTTTGATGCAATCAGAACGGTGTAAAATGCTGAAGTGCACTTTGCTTTTGCGCAATTTGTAAACTCGATTTTCTCTGTTCTTATTATACAACTGTGCGTGCTTGAATTTTCCAACAGGATTAAGTTCTACACCCGACATCAATAAAGTTTTCAGTTTGTTTCATACGAACTTAATAATATATAGTAATTAAATTCTATGGATTTTTAATTTAATGAATTTCCATTAATTTATTCCGAGAAATGCCACACATATTAATTTTTGTAATGCATTTAAAGAGCTCTGATGCCCAGCTTTTCTGCGAATTTTCATAATTTTTACAAGTTACTAAGACTTAATTTTAATGGCTTTATATATATTTTTTTTGTATTTTAAGCTAGTCTCAAACGAAAATCTCTTAAGATGTCAAGTTCTTCCTTGCTTAACTTTCTTGCACTTCTGCAACTTTCAGTACTTAGCATTATTTAGTCATTTACTTGGCTAACCGCCAACAAATGCCGTTTCTATATTTTTGAATGGCTCGCTATTAATAATACTTTCATGTAAAGTGCCAAATAAATAATGAAACTTTTGCTAAACAATACCCAAAGCCCTGGCACAGCTCCTGTTGCATTGCGCCAGCTCAAACTCCAGCTATTGCCATTGCCTTTGCCAAATATTAGGCCCCAGGCATTGCGCTAACAGCTAAAGATTGCCCATTGAATTTTATGGCCCTTTGGTGTCCCCCTCCGTCTCTCTCTCTCCCTCTCTGTGGGCCAAGCAGAAAAGCAATTGCTGTCAATTTTTACTTAGGCCTGGGCTAATAAAAGTAAAAATGTTTTGCGACAACAGATGGTGATGCGCATATTTGATATTATTGCGCACAGACAAACACACTCACACATATACGTGCGTACGTGTAACAAGAATGCCGCACTTAGACAGCATAAAATTTAACACGTCAATAATAAAAGCGTTGAAATTATTGGCTAAATGCGCTCAAGAATGTGGGCAACAAGAGGAACAACAACGACAGCAGTGTCATTGACTCCTCGAATCGTGTTAATTAATATGGCACACAAGTGGGTTTATACAGGCATTGATATGTAGGTCCATACACGGCCAAGCATATTAGTTTTATGTGCTAGCACTTGACCTTGGCTAACAGGCATTGGGTAGAAAGGAAAACTGTGTCTTGGCTTGTTGCGTGGCCACCGAAATTTGTTTGGTTCTTTGCCCTGTGCGTGTCGCTGCCAGGCAAAAAGTTTTGAATAATAAGTATGACCTTAATTAGGTAATTTTATGGCCACTAACAATTAGATTACTAATGTCACGACTCTCACACGAGCATCGAGCCAAACATCAGGCGGCATATCCAGCTCATTAGCGCACATTTTAAGTAGTTCACATTCATATAAAAAAATTAAGAAAGAACCGCTGATGAGCTGTGAATTATTTTGTTTATTTCGTTACATATTCTAACAGATTCACTTTAATTGTATAATTGCATAGTTCGTCTTATAATAACCGTAAGAGCTACAGAGAGCTTGTATTTACTTGAGATAAACATTTACTTTTTAGATAAACACTTGAACAATTCGTTTTGAGTTAACAAATTGAATGAAATATAAATGCCCAATTATTAAAAAAGCTCGTTTGCATAATTAATGAAGCTCAGCCAGTGCAGACGCCTTTCGTTAGAGGTTTAATTAAACATTTTAATGGTTTTCCAATGCAAATGAACATAATTAATTAAATTACAATCAAGTGTAAAAGAAAATTAAAAAGTAAAAACTATGAGTGAAACACACACAGACTAACATTTGAGCAAGTGTTGCTTCAATAAAAACATAATTATGAGAAAAAACCAATTCACGAACACAATATATCATACACATAAAAATGCGGTTGCATTAAAATATTTTCATTTCGTTTTGTATTTTTATTGCATTTTGGCTTAACTGCAATAGCATGCCTTTAAATTAATGCAAAAAACACGCGGCAACCGCAGTAAATGAAAAAACAACAGAAATTGCAATGAAAAAGTTTATATAGAATGTAAAACAAATATTCAACAGAAAACGATATGGTTCGTTAGCCAAAGATTAAATACGCTTACGCATGATAAAACACGAAAAAATAAAAAATCAACTCTTAGATCGTTAATTTTACCTGATTACAGACTGAGCTGAAAGACTTAATGGCGATCTTAATACTTTGAGACTTGCCAGTTAATATATTAAGTTCTAATTTTTTATTCATATAAACTAGTTTCCAAACAAGTTTCAAACGTACTTTCATGAGAGGGTATTAATACCAATCAAGCGTTCGACCAGGTCAGGTAAACAGTAATGTGTCCTTCGACTGATATTTATTTAAATTACACTCTGCATTTCGAGCTATTTTTATTTATTATTTAAACTGCATTTATTAAAACATTAAACAAGCGAAAACAGAATAATAAAACTGTACATAAATTGGTTTTCTAGGTAATATTATGGTAACAATGGTAAATGCGATAATGAACCTGGCCACATTACGTGACCGTGTTTACATTCATTTCATGAATGATTTTAGCAAATTAAAATACACGCACTTGTGCATAAACAAATCCACAATTTGAATTTAAGTGAGATTTTTATTTTATCATCTAACAACATTTCACATTATGCATCAAATATATATATATGATATTCTTGTATAGTAGTTTTTTTTTCAATTTAATTTGGAGCTGATTATATAATGTCGTTTGACAGCAGTGCAATATTTATTTATTGATTTGATAAAACGATTCAATCTATATATTACATAATATTTATAAAACAACTGCTTTCATTTACAATCTGAAACATCTGCCTGCTTCATGGTTCAATAATCCATCTATGAGCTCTGATTTTGTTTAGCATACTTATATTGCAAGCTGTTTATATTTTCATGTGTGTCCAAACTTTGCGCAAGTAAATAAGCAAATATATATGATAAATACCTTAGGCTATGAGTTTTAAAAATTTGTATAAATATTGCTGGCTCTGGAGTGTAGGAGCTGAGCAGATTACCTGTTTGGCTATTTGGATCAAGTCCCAGATAAATGATGTTAAGAGTGACTCAGATGCCATTTATAAGTATATGGTATAAATTTGTTTAAATTTTAAGGATATATCATTAAGTCCCATAGTATTTTTTTACTGAAAGCTTATAAGGCAACGTTATCAAAGAGAATCAGTTTCTGACCACTATTATATTGAAGCTCCATATTTATTTAAGTATATGTATGTTCCGTATTGCCATGCATCTGCCTACATATATACTCGGATTGTTATTGTTACACCCGTTCGAAATGTGTCTGCTGTGGTTGTTGTTGTTGTGCTGCTGTTGTTGTTGCTGTCATTCAGTATACCATTGTTGAATGGGAGCTGCAATTGTAATTCGCTGCAATTAATTTTAATTGCGTTGGTTGTCCATTTTCATTGCGTTTTCGATTTTTCACACACAATTTGAATAAATAAACAAAAATCGCAAAAAAGAAGGAATTAAAATATACATATGTATAAAATAATGCTTAAACGGCATTTAAACACATAAATTAACTTTAAATATTAATGGATGCAAATACATACACTCAAACCCACACACACACGTGCATTTGTGTATTTGCAGTGCGCCCACTTCTGGTAGAAATCAGCTTCAACAATCAGCCCATGTCAGCTGACCGTAAATACGAGATTGAGTGCCAGGCAATTGGATCAAGGCCGCCGGCAAAAATAACCTGGTGGATGGGCAACCTGGAGATGCACGGCCATAGCCAGAAGGTGAGTTTGCATTACATCAAGTGAACTAAATACATGTCAAAATGCAACGCTCTGTCTATCGAAGGTCACCGAGGATGGCAATGCAAGCACCTCTATACTTACGATAACCCCAACGCGGGAGGATCATGGTAAGGCGTTGTCCTGTCGCGCCACCAACGAACTGGTGCGCAATGGCATACGAGAGACGGCCATGAAATTGAATGTGTTCTGTAAGTATTTCAAGCTCTTGTCACTCGATATATGTTCACATAATGCAACATCAATTTGATAAAGTTGTATGTGTTTCTTATCGTCAAAATCAAAATACATAAATGTAAAGTGCACCGAGTCCAGAGGTTTTCATCTTCAACTTTAGCATAACTAATCAAAGACAATATTGACATTACCTTGCTGACAGTCGTCCCATTTGCATGCAATGCAGCTAATCAGCTAGTCAGATGCTGACCTGATGATGCACAATGTGTCAGTTGTCTGACCTCTTTCAGTAAGATATTATTGAATTCAAACAAATGGGCTAATATCGCCCCAGTTCAACTCAAAGTGAATAAAACTTGAGGTCTGCCGAAGGGGGCTGTGGCAGTGATCCCTTTAAAATAATTACACGCATGTTGAACACGCGCTGTACTTTATGGCTGTCAGTGGCACATAAACTAGCAGAGGTGGGGCTTGCGCTGGGAAAACAATCGGCGGCAGTGCCATAAAGTGTGCCAAGCGCTTATCACCCGTGTCCTCAGAATCAATACTGATTTGCATATAAATATCGTAGACATGAGGGTTTCGGTTTATTTTTTTTTGCTCGCGGCTTTCAGCCCGAATGTCAAGCGCTTGTTTTATGGGCCAAGTCAACAACATGCGCTCAAAGTTTGTTAATAAAATTTCTATGTCAAGATATTAAAAAGGCAACTTGCGCTCTACCAGATGGCTCTATACGAGTGCTCTTGGCATAGTGTCAGCTCAAAGTCTTTGACCCAAGCCCAAATACCCGGGCATATATGCATATATAAAGTATATGTAGGAGCACTCTCCTTTATGTTTCAATAGTCTCAAGAATTTTGCCAACGTTGTCGTGTTCGTTGTCGCTGTCGTTAGGCAAACAGTTGCCACGTCTATTATCTAAGAGTTTTTGCGCATCGTTCCCCATTGCCAGGGAAACTTTACTCCTTTCAGCGGTAGCAGCTCCTGCTGCCGCAGGAGCATTTGAAGCTGTCTACGTGGCCGCCTTGAAGCAGACTCTCAATTTTACGCGCGTCGCTTGCTGATATAAAAAATTAGATAACAATTTCAATTTCCATGCTCATTTACATGTTTATAGCGTGCTTAAAATATTTTGGGACCTCTTCCCACCCCGTGTCTCGCCTCTGGTTCCTGTGATTTCCTCTCACTTGCAAAGATTTTGTGTCTTCTTTAAGCGCGCTGCTTGTTTGTACTGAGGGGTAAATTGAAAAGTTACCCTGCACTTTGCTGCAAATGAGCAGCCAATAATTGTGCCATTATTCCACATTATATAAGAATTGTCATAAAACGAAGTTATCTAAAATTTTATGAAATCTCTCCGTTGTACCTTGACCCAAAAAAGGAAAAACAGAAAACTCCGACAGCGTGAAGCTTAGCAAAAGATTTAATTTTCCGCACAATCAACTTGTATTAAAAATGAAAATTAAATGAAACGGAAACCACTAAAAATTAAAGTCATATCCGCAATAAAAATAATGACGCAGCAGCTACCCGAAAGCAGCAAACTAAGCTGCCGAAATATGGACAATGTCCATGCCTCAACTAAGTATGCGCGCGCCGCAGTAGCCTTCCAAAGAGGGAAGTTCCGCAAAAGCTGACTGCGAACATGTGCTGACAGGGTGAAAATTATGAAAGCTCATCGGCTAGGGTGGGTAATAATGTTATAAATAAAGCATCCATTCAACTTTACAGCGATAGCGGAACTTTTAAAGAGCTCAATATGTTTTTCAATTTGATTTTTACTGCATTAGCAACTAGATTGGCATATCCACAAGAAAGCGATGACGGCTACACTGATTACTCTTTGAAAAAGTATTTATATATGTGCTTTGGCTTACAGATTTCGTTGAAAAGGACAGAAAACTGTAGTCAAATGCCAATCAATGAACTGTAGCCATGTATGCCGATGAGAAGTTCCAGTGGAAAGTCAATCAAGTTGCATGGCTTTTTTAGTTTCAGACCATAAAAACCCTTTTAGTTGACTGTATGTACATCAACGTTAGAATGAGATTTAAGACTTCTACTATTATTTTCCAGCTTAAGTCGAGTGTATATTTTTTTAATGAAAAGTTAATTCACTTAACACTAAAAATATATAGTTTTAAGATACTTTCTCTGTCATAATACATTATGCTCACCGCCAAAAGTTTCCTGCTAGTGCAGATGTACATTATTTTTAAAACTATACACAGTGCACATGTGCCACTGGCAATTAATTTAACTCTAAGCCAATTTTTCTCAGATTCACTCGGTCGAGCCTGGACAGAAGTACGTTTCAGTTAATGTAATTTATATGTCTAGTGCGGAGAAAAGAGAAATGAGCAGCACGGGCGGAGCGAGTGGAATCAATTTAAGGGCTGCTAACGAGCAGTTGTTCAACTTTTTACCCAACAGACAATGACAGGCCTCACGCACAAGAAGCAAAATGAGCAGCAGGAAACAGGGGTAGGAGCAGGAGCAGGAGCAGATGCAGGAGCAACGACTAGCTAAAGCAGCCGGAGGAGGCAGCACATTGGCAATGTCTGCTACAAACTGTGGCAGCGGCATTCAAAAGTCGTTACGTTAAGCTGCAGTTACGGGTTTCGGGTTTGCTTTGCTTTTGTGCTGTTGCAGTTGGACTGTGAGTCATAAAATGCATTAGCCAAGTAAAGTTGGCCAGTTTGGGCTGCTGCTGCTGCTGACCAGCTTGGCCAGTGACAGTTATTACCACTTAAGCCCATCTAACCGCAACAGTGTGGCCGACCAGTCAGCTAACCTCCTAAGCCAGTGCTCGAGGCAAGTATTGTGCTTCCCCATACGGACAGACGGCCATTCGCAACAAACTGGGCTTAAAGTCAACGTTAATGAACTTGTTGAGCAGCAGGCAAAAAGGTCTTTAAATTATGCAAACAACTTTTGCCTTTGTCTCTGCCACATTCTCTCTGTCTGTATCGCAGCCTTTGTCACTTTTTTTGCCCAAGTTCTCTAGCTGGCTGTCATTCGTTGGGCTTAGGCGAGCGATTTTCATTTTCATTAACAAGTCTTTGCAGAGCGAAATCGGCTTAAAGAAACTTGTTTATAAAACGTGGCAAAAGAAAACAGTAAGCACAACCCAAGACCAAACTACAACAACAATGCGCAAAATAATAAGAAACCATTGCCAAGGAAGGTAATGGCAAAGGGTGGGGGCGTGGCACGTACTCCTACGAAGCGACACTAATCACAGATAAGCGCAGATTAACCCCATTTCTCTTTTTTTTGTTGTCCGCTTCTGAGTTTTCCTTTGCGCATTTCTTCCATTCTCAACGCTTGCTTATTTTTTTGACTGTGCTAAACTTGGCTCAAAGTAAAACAACAGCAAATTGCAGTTGATAGGCTGACTCAAGACCAAGCACATAAAAAACTACACACATAAGTAAAATGCAAATGTAGCTATGAAGATGTATATACATATATTAAGAGTCAGTTGGTCATGGCTGTATTCATATTGCTTTCTTCTATTGCAGTTATACCCACCTTGCAACTGGACCTGGGCTCAAATCTAAATCCGGAGGATATCGAGGAAGGCGATGATGTTTATTTCGAATGTAAAGTGCATGCAAATCCTGCTGCTTATAAAGTCGTCTGGAAGCATAATGTAAGTAGCAAAAACTCTTTTCAAATCCAAAGATTTATCAAGACTTATCGACTGAGGGAAGCACAAAAAAAAGGGGAGCATATGAAAGTAAGAACTATTTGTAAATGCAGCTCCGTGAAATTTTTAAGAAACGGTTTGTTTATGTATTCATGTCATTTGTGCAACTCATTTGTACCAGCCCAAAATATGGGCTGAATAGATTGACCTTCAAGTGCTCTTCAAGTGGCTTGAGACAATTGTGGATACGGAAACGAGGCTTGTACTTCCGGCAATTCCCCTGGCATTGGCGTGCCATCAATGCGAGTGTGTGAGTGCCTATGTATCTGTGTGTGTGAGCGTGTTTGTATGGTCTGTAAAGGGCAGACCGCCACTAAATTATAATGAAACCAAAATTAAGTGAGCATTTTTACTGAATTATTGGCCAATTATTTTAAGGCAATCGAGTCAAGTGGCCCAGTCGATTGCAGCTCAAGTTCCTCTTCAAGTGCCCCCAAATGTGCAAAAGTTTGCGTGGCAAATCATTTGTTTATTAGTTTAATAAGTACTCAACAAAAACTTTAGCAGGCTGGCATAAGTAAAGACAATAGATAGCGAGCAAGTGCAAGAACAACTTGAACAACAAGCAAATAAATAATATTCAATGTGCTCGAGTCACAGCAAGTGAATCAAGTGTATGAATAATATGAATGCTAATTGAATTCATTAGATGGCACAGCAGCAACAAAAACCAACGACAACACAGCTGAGTACGTGGCAAACAACATCGAAGGCAACAACAACAGCAACAACAATCAGGCATAACTTTGCCAAATGATTATAATAAATAAACAAGAACAAGGACTCGGCCAAAAAGTTTTCAGTGGGCCATAGGCAGCACACAAAAGCAGCCAACACAAATGTACCATAGGCTTAAAGTTCAGCCAGCAAAGGGAGACAACAGATGAATAATGAAAAGAGATGGAAGAGCATCTATAAGTGCACAATATATAGCTAAAGAGCAATACAACAACAAAGTTGGCAAAGCACAACAGAAATAGTCCAAAAAAATATATATTTATGTCTGTCAATCAATGCTTGAACAAGGCAACAAATATATTACGCAAATACTCAGGACATTAAAAGTGTGTGGCCAAAAAAAGAAGATTCAAAGCTATATTTAAATACAAGAAATTAATATCGTCTAGAAACTTTTTATCAGACTTTTATGCTATTTCATATTTGTAAATTTAAGATACAAAAAAATTGTATTCCTTACACATGTTTTTAAAAGGCTTACACGACATAAATGCGCGCAGCAAGGCAGTCAGGGAGAGAGAGAAAATAAGAGAACGCACATGCAAATTGCAGCTCATGTCTCTGTTGACAAGGCTAACAAGAAAACTAAACAGTTAGTTAGTTAGTTGCCAGCCAATTGACTTGCTCAACGTCATAACAATAAAAGCTGAGTGCGAAGCAAAAAGCGCAAACGGAAATGAAATGGAAATGAGGGAACGGGGACGTAGAGTGGTAGAGACAGATCCCGAGAGGGAGAGACTCAAAAAGTGGCTAGATACAATTGGCCATGCATTCAGTTTCTTTATGTGTACGCTTGGTTGAGTCGAGCACACATGGCGTATGCGTAATGAGTTCAAGGCAAACCGACGTTCAGTTAGTGTTATCACTAGACAAGAACAAAAGCAGAAAACCAAGACAGAGCGAAAGTCAAATGCAAGCTAAGTGCAGACATGTCAATTGCTAAATTGAACACAACAATTTCAATGCAATTAAAATAAACCTAAAAAAATTTGAGTGCTATTATTTTGTGTTCATTGACCGACAGCTAACAGACTTTCCTCAATAATAAACTAGATGGATTATGCTATTCAATTTATCATTTTGCATTGAATGCAATTTGCTTAATCAAATGTCTTCAACCACAAGTTATTTTGCGCAACGTTAACTATGAAATTGTTAAGCTTTCAGCCAAACATATATATAGCTGTAATATGTGTGTGCGTATGTGTGTGTGTGTGTAAACAATGTCAGAGGACAACTGTGTTAAATTGTTGTTGCTGTCGCTTTGTCTTTGCCAGTTATTATTCAATTATGCATGCCAACAATTAACGATGAGCTGGCAAATTAAATTAACAATTAGTTTTATTAAACTTGAAGCAAAACTTTTACCTCTTTGACTTTATGTGGTGCGTATCTATGTGCGTGTGTGTGTGTGCGGTAAACTTTTGCATGCTCATTAAGAAACTGGCAACAACTTTGATCGAAGACGCTGCCAGCGCAACCGACCAGCAATCGTTGTGTGGAGGGTAAAAACGCAAGAGCCGACTCCTGCAAGCTTCTGGCAGTAAAAGTTATTTAACCTCCGAGCACATACGAACGCGTCTTTATGTGTGTGTGAGTGTGGGTAAGTGAGTTATTTGTGCAAATGGAAGTGCTGAAATAGCAAATAAAAACGGAAAATTTGATTAGAGAGGCACCAGGCAACATTCTAATTCATACTGGCAGGCAAAGCATTTTTAGCTACAGGAAGTATTTAACGCTCAATGAGTAAAGAGAAAATATACAAAGTAAAACAAATATCAAGCTAATGTGTGTGAGCCAAATAAATTGTCTATTTATAATAGATACAATTTTTTAGCTATAAAAGAATTTGCTAAATTCAAAATCCAATTAAAATTCAATACATATGTTGAGAGTGTTTTGTGAATTTTGAATGGAGTGAAATGTGCAATGAATCTAGTTCAAACGCTAACAGATGTGTAGCTGATGCGAAGGCAAGGAAAATGTTGTCAAAGTCGTAGAAGCCAACGCAATCAGCCTGGCCATTAAGTAAATGGTCAACACTAATTGGGTATTTATTGTAGACGTAGAAGCGGCAGCAGAAGAAGCGAATGCCAGGCAAACACAAACATGTCAAGGCGCTTGTCTCTGCAGACAGACAAATAAAATGGCAGCGCATAAAATGTGTCATTAGCAATGAGGAGTAGAGGGGCAGCTGGCAAAAAGGGTTGTGCGGCTAGCAGCAAACTGAGCAGAACGGAAAAGCCAGTGCGGAAAAGCTGCTGAGGATGTGCCTTCAACTATTGAAATAATCCTCAACTGAGACGGAATGTAGTAGAATCCACTTTTTTTATTTGTTTACTTATTCACTTTTATTTTATTTTTTTCTCTTTCGCTTTGTTTGTTTTCTGTGTGACAACCTTGAACTTTATTTACTTTTGTGTGCCTGGCGACATTTTTATTTGTTTTATGACAACAGCAACAACAAGAATAACAACAGCAGTCGTTGATAAAACGCGCCAACAAATGGCAGCCAACGTCTTGGGGGCTATTTAAGTGAGCCCCGCGGGAGCAGTGCGAATAGGGTTCAAGCGGGTATGAGCGCTAAGCAGGCTTTAAGGCCATGACTAGTTCTGAGTGTATTTGTCTGCTTAGGGCCAGCACTGGTCGCTGAGAGCTTGGACTTTAAATGGCGGGTTTTTAAAATAAATATTAAGTATACGACCGGTTGGCTGTAACGTAAAGAACGAGAACAATTATCCAACCTATCAGTTATACAAGCTTACAAGAATATATATATATGTAAAAATATAATATCAAATTTATGTATATATACTGTGGCAGCATTGTGTAGTCTGACGGACTGAGCAATCTGGCTGATCCACTATGATGCATTGTGTCTCCACTGCCAATGCCATTGTTTGGCCTGTGTCAAACAGTCAGACAACCGGTCAGACAAAGCACGCGACCAAGCATAAATACACACACACACATACACCTACTGGCACATTCATTGGAATCAAAGCTGTGGCCCAGCTCTCCGAAAAGTAGGCAACACTATTATTAAAGTGTTGCCACATTGCATTGTTTGCCAGCGCTTATTGTATGCTATTTGCACACATTCTCAAATGTATTTGTACCACATTCTACTTATGCTTACACATACCTATGTGTATTTGTGTGTGTGTATGCTAAGGTCACACTGGCATTGTTCGCCTTGCCGTTTGTTGGTCTGCCATTTTGACTTTTGTCGACAATTTATACACACATTTTTATTTATTTCAATGCTGTTATTGCTTTTGTTGCCATTGTTCTTGGTGTTGTTGTGCGAGGCGAAAGTGCGAATTTGTTTTGCTGCTAAATGGCACAAGGCTCTGGGGAAATGCGTCAAAATCTTGCCGAGTGCCAGCGCATTGGGAGCGCCAAACCAACATCAGTAATAGGCGTGGCCCCTCAGCTGCCAGCGTTCTATACTTATATATGAGTAGCACATACAGGTCAAGTGTCTCAGTACATGTGTGTGAAATTTAAGTAAATATTGGGTGATTTTCAAATGCCAAACACGTCTCACACACTGACGTCCAATACTCTAATGAAGCAACTCGCGTATGACGGCGCGCCAAATTTTTAGAGGGTTAGGTTCTGTAATAAATGAATGTTCCGCTGACCTTCTGCCCAAGAGGCAGGCTTGACCAGAATAGCAATTTTTTTTCCAATTGGAGGAGATTTGCGAAGCACTAATAATTTATATGGCATTGCTGAAAAATCGATTCAAAATGTATAGCAATATAATAAAAATGAAATGAGAAATTGGGATTTAAAAAACATTTATTTTCGGTTGTAAATTAACTTTTCAGCAAAGATTCAATTTTGTTTTTGTATAATTTTTAAGTTGAAACCATTGATCAGTTTTTAATAGCTATACCATAAATATAAATTTGATTGCATAATCAGAAACCATACAACAAATTTAAATTTAATTAAGTAGAATTACAAATTTGCATTGGCTTCGGTCTTGATGGGCTGACAAATTTTTAATTAAGCTGCTTAAAGCTCCGCAACGGCAATGGACCGTTGCTTATACGTAAGGCCCCTAATTGACTTGTTCGATACTTATCTCTATTCTATTCTGCTTTCTTGTGTTTGACTGACAGACAGAAACAAAAGAAAGTGCTGATTAGCACAAATATGAACCTAACAATCAATATGAATAACTTGTTGATGACGTGCGACTAATGATCATTTCAAATTCACCTTTCGTTTGCAGCACCAAATCATTCAGCATAATCAGCGGGCTGGTGTCATTGTGAGCAGCGGAGATCTGGCGCTGCAGGGCGTCACCCGTCACCAGGCTGGGAACTACACGTGCACCGCCTCCAACGTTGAGGGCGACGGCGATTCGAACATAGTCGAGCTGAAAGTGATGTGTAAGTACAAGAGCTCAATAGATTTGCTAGACCTTAAATTATGTGAGCAGCAAGAGTAGAAAACGCATTGTGCTCTAACTGCGTTTCATTTATTTAGGATTTCGTTGAATTGATTGCGAGTATATAAAACGTTGTGCTTGTTCTCGACAATTGCATGTCAAGCTTTATGGGGCACGTGTTGAGTTTTATTTAGCACTTTGAAACGAAAGGAGGGAAGGAGAAGAAAAGCAAGCCAAAAGTTATAGCTTTGTGCAATGCTGCGTATGCGCAACATTTTAAGCTTGGCCCACATTTGACATGTGTGTGCCTCGATTTGCATGGTTCTGGTGGCATTGTTATTGTGGCTGGGGTCATAAAAAATACGCTCTGAATGGTTGCGCTGTACCATCATTCTTTCAGCACTTGGCTAAACGTACGATTTGAGCCATTAACAAACATTCACAGCTCTTAAATGCCAGCTGGCTATTAAATTGAATCCCGTTTGTATGCTGCTACTGTTGCCGTTTACAATATTGGCAGGGTGCTGCCATGTGGCGCGGCAGCAGGAAAGGACGCTGCACTATTTAGGCTTTTGGTAAGAACCTTTGACACACAAAAAGGTAGCATTATTGAGTAGTCGAGTGGTTGGATGGTTGAGCGGGCGAGTGGTGAATTGTTTGCTCGTGCGGACTTCTTGCAGTTTTATTGCGTATACGCCCCCGTTATTGTGTCCCACTCGAATGCCTTTTATATTGTTGGCCTTTTGTGTTCAACTGCAACTGCATCCGTAACTGAAGCTGATTCGAGTTCGGTTTTGCTTTTAACCTAACCATCTTGGCCTAGCTCGTGCTCACTATTGCGGCTGCCAACTCTGATTTCTTTTAACTAGAATACAATAACCAAAACTTCCCCTGGCCCAGCCAACCAACCAACCAGCTAGCTGACTAGGGAGTGCTTGCCAAGCACGCTCCTTAGCCAACAAAAAGCCTTTTGCCTGGCTTCCCGCTTTTTGTTCACATTCAGTTATTTTCTCATTGAATGGCCGTATTTCCTTTTCCTTCCTATCAGTCAGCCCACAATACGGAAAGCCTTTACATGAGCTAACAGATTTGTGTCAATCTTTGTATTTTATTCAAAACTTGCAAGGGCTTCAACGTTTTTTTAGAATTTAATTTCGAAATATTCAACTTGTTTCAAAAGGCTGTGTTTAAATAATAAAATTTGTTCAATGGTTTCAAAATCTATATAAATGAAATTTATAATTGTGCATCTGCTTTGGTCACATACCAGCTCTTATAATTTATTACATAGCTTCTTCGTTGCCCTCAATCATCAGATTTAATCCGCAACTAGAATTTTCTGCACAATTTGATTGTTGAAGGTGATGAACTTGCAATTAAAAACAGGAAAGACGCCTCCCGTTAATTATTTTTCTTTTTTCAGCAATTCTGAACACAGAAACTTACTCCCTGCTCAATTTTGTTGTTATGCTTTGCTTTTGTTTCGTGCTCCATTTCCTCTTATTGTGTTTTCACTGTGGCTATTTTGTTAACTCTTCTATAGTTCTGTACTCTTTCTTGCAAGTGCCTTAATTCTATAACGAAGTTTGTAAAGTCCATTTCTATAGTCAAATCCAATTTATATATGGATATATTTTATCAATATAGCAAGCTTAACGGATAAAAGCCTGCGAGTTTATTTAGCTGAGGTACTTCGCAGTATAGTATAGTGGAGCACAAAATGAAGTTGAGCTTGTGCCAACGTACTTGCAAGGGTATTTAATCTGCACCACTATGTCGAGAGTTGGTTTTTCTTCTTATTTGCTGTTTTTTCATTCTTGCCTTTGTTTTAAGTGAGGCCCCGCTGATCCTCTTTTCCGCAATTGTCTCTGGTGGTGCATCGTTTTTCGTCACCCAAAGTGTGGCTGCACACCGCTTCGTTCCATTGTGGATTGGAATAGCCACAGTCAAAAACCCAATTTGTTACCCAATGCCTGCCGCTTGGACTTCTACTTGACACTGTTAAATGGAAATTTGTTTACAGCTGGATTCTAGCTTTAGTTTTTACGACAACAACAGCAACATCAACAAAAACTCGAACAGTATTGCGAGTTGTCAAATTGTGCTATAAATTGTGCAATCGCAGTGCTCAATGCAGCTGCAGCTGAAGCTTTGCTTGCCCAAGGATTAGAAGAAATTGAATTTTTGTAGCTGCTTCGTTGAAGGCTCAAAACTTTCGTTTCGGCCAAGTTTTTCTTTCTGTTAACGTTTGTGCAGCTTTCTGTTGCGCCTCGCTTTGCTTTCTTTCTGTTGCTGTGTCGGACTCTGTTTAGTGAGTTGCTTTAATGGGCAACATGGCAGCTCGCATGCACAGTCTGCATGGGATGCAAAGGGAGTCTCTATCCTTACTGCTTTTTGTGCTGGCAAACTTTTCTACTTAGGATTTGAGTGCGGTTTTTGGGAATGGCCTAGGGGCATTGAAGCGGGCGGGGCAGAGGCGTAGCATGCAAAAACAAAAAGCCCCGTCAAGCTCTCCAACTGTAGAATGTGCACTCGAACTGCTTGGGCTTTATTGCATTAAGTTTGGCAAAGCAATGCGATTATTGATTGGCAGCAGTGGCCGCCGACGAACAGCAAAATGCACTTGACAAACATCAAAGTTTCTAACTTTTGCTTTATCTCATGCTTTCTCTCTCTCTCTCTCTCTCTGTAGATAAACCAATTTGCCGGCCTGATCAAAAGAAAATCTATGGCGTGGCCCGCAGCGAATCAGCTGAAATCGTGTGCGAAGTAGACGCCTTTCCGCCACCCGAGAACTTCAAGTGGTCCTTCAACAACACCGCGGAGACCTTCGATATGCCTCAAAGCGGCTTCCGGCCCCATTCGGCGCAGGGTTCCACGCTCACCTATACGCCGGTTAAGGTAAGTGCACATTGATAAGCATAATGTAACAGATATTGAAATATATATACGACCAATATGTTTGACCCTAAGTCAGAATGACTGACAGTGCCCTTAACCATTGTTAATTTGTGCCTGTGTCTAATTTGTGTTCCGTTTGCATCACGAAAATGACAGAGCAGCATGTACTTTCATTCTAAGCATGGGAACAGCCAACTGTCTGCGTGTGTGTTTTTATGGTCGATTTAAGCGTGGGCGATGTGTACGCTCTGATCGATACTTGTCTTTCAGCTTTGATTTTTCGCTTACTTTACAATTGAATTTTACGTGTTCGTCGCTGTGAAATTGTTATTGACATTTTTGAAATTTGGCCAAATTGTAGACGAAAAGGCCAACGCGTGGCGTTCAATTAAATGCTAAAATTTTAATTAATAGGCAGCAGACGATGTCATGTTGTTGTTGTGGCTCGTGTGCGTGTCATGCTGTCAAACAAAATGCAAAGCCAACACTAGCACACAACCAGTAAACTGTGGATGGCGGTAGCTGGGGTTTGGCCATGGGGTCTGAACAATTTTTAATTAAAAATTCTATTAGTACAGCTTTCTAATTAATATCGATGCCAATAGCAGCAGCAACTGCAAAGGCCACAGATTAGTTCATGATATTAAAGCCATTGCCACTTTTGCTTAAATGGCAATCAGCAGTATAGTTGAGAGACAACAAAAGTCGAAAGCAATCAACTCACCGCATTGCGAACACTCTTTGCCTCCACATGACTGACAATTGGCCAACATTTCCGTTCAAAATGGACAACGTTAGCGTCATCGATATGACCCATTGTGATGGCAATTGTCGATTGGCAACGGCGATTGCATTTTGACGTTTTGCACTTTGCTGCCACCCTGCCATTTGAACAGCCAAATTGGCTATCAATGAGCAGCCTTCCTTCAATGGCAACAAATTGTAACCGAAAGCGCCTGATACCCAAATGCGAATACAAGTGTTTTTTTGGCCGTCTGCAGTCGAGCAGCTACTGCTACTATTATGCCTTGGCTCAGTCCGATGGGGTGCCAAAACAAAAAGAAATCTGAATTGCAATCAGAGCACTGACAATTAGGTTAGCTCAAGGCTATCTCGAAATCAGAGTTAAGCATGGTTGCTGGCTAGTTATGCCCACTTGTAGTGAGATCATATAGATCTACTGTGAACTTAACGAGAGTAGAATTCAGAGAGAATTCAGTCCAGTTCTCAAAGTGACAGTGCCTTTATCGTCATGATTATCAGTCAGCCAAGTTCAGTTCTCTGCTTCTTCTTGTTGGATATAGCGAATTGATTGTGAGAGAAGCAACAAGACCAACTGAAACACAAAAGTACTTAGAAATTAAAACTAATTGTAATTCTTTGGATGGGCCACCTTAAAGTGCTGAATAACATTACACTCCCTGATATTTAGGTAGTTTATGGTATTTCGAATTTAGTATGCTCGGGCTGCTAGTTGCCAAAAGAAATATTTCGCTAGTCAAACGGTATTCAAATGAGTTCCGTTCACAGACAGTTGCCCGGCGTTGATTGTACCAAACACAAACAGAAGAAGCAGTCAGTCAAAGGCACACACACATACACACATACAGACATAAATCATTTAGCTCAATTGAATATGAAAAATCCCTTCCGTTCTGTTGTCATATATGCTGTTTCCGGTTTCCGCAACCACAGCTCAAGCTTCGTCGCTGTCCTTGTTGTCCTTTGGGCTGATTTTCTTTTATTTTCTTTTTTTTTCGCAAATATATTTCCTTTTTTTTCTGTGTGTGATTTGCTCAAAGGCAGGCAGCAGCCAACAGCTCATTAATTTTGCGCCATGCTTTGGCATTTCCCACTCCATCACTCAGCTCATGCTTGACTCTTGCAATCTCTTTGGCCCTCTCCCTCCCACTCTATATTTTTCTTTTTCTCTCTCAGTTTGTCTATTTTGCATGTGTGAGTAGTTGTGCCTGGGTCTTCCTAGACATTTGCCGCTGCACACACACACTCATACGATATGAAAATAGCTCAGAAAATTTGTCGAAAATTTCGCACACAGCATGGCTGGCCAGAAAACTCATTAAAATGTCACTGAAATGTTCAAATTTTAATTAAAATACATAAACAATAACATTTATTTTTCGGGCTGTCAGCACTAGACAAGAATGCAATAAAAGTGCAGGCCAAAGATAGGCAAAAAATCACAGACTCTGCCTTAAAGCCAAATTGAATGGGCGTGTGTACAACCGACAGCGTACGCGTGTTTGTCTAGTTTCCAGCAATGATTTAGATAGGGTGTGTCTGCTGGCTGAGCGCTGTACAACTGTAATAATATTTACGTTTAGCTGCGGCAACATTAAAATAATATAAACAACTGAGAATAATGATAATAAAATAATATATGCACATAGTTGGGCATAAATTTGCAATATACACACGCACAAACGAGCTGGAAAGCGTGTGCTATGCAGTCGAAATTCTCATTGGCTCTAAATTTATCAAGCATCAACTTAGCAGCCCCAAAAAATATGCTACGCTTTATAGCTTGCATTATTCTCTCTTGTATTTTCTTACAATTTGTGTATGCAATTTGTATATTGCAAATTTGTTAGTGCTTAACATGCAGCATATGTATCTGTCTCGGGTTGTGTGTTGCCTGCGGTTACACACACTTGTACACAGCTGTGTAGGTGTTGATGCGCAGTGTTGGCAGCTGCCTAGTTGCCGCCTTTGTGATCACACTTTTATACAGCACAATACAACTGCATGTCATATAAATTCCATATATATTTATATATAAACTCGTATATGCTTCTTTTCATTTTCATAAATTTATCATAAATTTGCATAAATACTCTGAATGCACCTGACATAAACACAGTGTTCATATGAGACATAAAATTCCTTTCAGCACTGTCTCTCTTTAATTTTCAAACATTCGGTTGCTCCTGTTAGTGAGAGACATTATTTAATAGTAAATTAAACCTTACATATTTTTTAACGAGCTAAAATTTACCTTCAATTAATAGCTGAAATTGCTTTCGTCTTAAAGCCATGTTTAACATTTTCATTTAAAGGTTTACTGCAGTCCATTAATAAATTTGTACTTTTGACCGCTATAAACGAATCTGTTTTAGTTTCTTGAAGTTCTCCTGCAAGTTTACCAGTGGCTTTTCATTTTCGTCAAGCTTTTCTCAGTGCTTAAATTAAAGAAAACTTTGAACTTTTCTTTTTATTCGACTGCCCCCATTCCTTTGCCCCAATTAAAATGGCAAGAGCGCCTGCTTCTGAATTTTCCGGAGAGCTGAGGCCCGGGGTATAAAATATAAATGCACCCTCCGACTGATAAATAAGCTGCAATTTGAGTTGACATTTTGAAGCGTGCTGGACGCTGAGGAAAGTGATTTTAATTTTTAATGAGTTCAAGACGCCCAGTGCTGATTAAGTGCGTTTATTTTTCCAGCTAACAATTCCCAAGGTAAATAGAACCTGCCAAGGCAAGCTGCTATCCATGTATGAGGGTCTATGTGTCTGTTTCTGTGCAAACAAATCAATCGTCTTGAATGTTGTTGTTCATTTGACCGTAATATGGTTGGAGGATTTCATTAGCACAACATTTGACACAACACAAACACACGCAAAGAATCAACAATGGGCCCGCAGGGCGTGGCCACTTATCAGGTTCAACATAGCCAAACACATGGCATACATTATAGCCATGTTAACATAGTTTCCTTGTGGGCCCCGCCAATCACTGACACGAAGAAATATGTACCCAAATAGCCAGCCACAAAATGCTTCATTTGTTTTTACGGCCAAGTTGGGAAAACTTTCCTATCCTCTTCTTCTTCTTCTTCTTAGCCAGTAGATACTGCCCACACTCTTAGCTTAGAGTTACCGGCTCTGTGTGTGTGCGCGCTTTCATTGACATGAAATTATATTAATGAAAGACTTATTGACAGCTGTGATCAATCAGGCGGCTTGACAAGCACATTACGTATACGCCGCCGGACCACAATGCAGAACAGGACGCAACTTTAACGACATTGTTGTGTATTTTATTTATTATATAATGGGGGTTTATAATACAATTGCATAATGCAACATCAACCCATATAGCAATTAACTGCTGAGAGCAACTGCAAATATCAAAAAGGTAGATTAATTAACTAAAAATTGAGAAAGTAGAGCGTTATAATTTAATTAATTGCCTTTAAAGCCATATTATAAATCCCTTTGTATGCGCTATAACAATTTTTCTCTTTTTAATTGTTTCCTGCAGGAAATGGACTTTGGCACCATCATGTGCTGGGCGGACAACAATGTGGGCCAACAAAAGGAGCCCTGCGTATTCCATTTGATAGCCGCGGGAAAGCCGGAAGCTCCCACCAATTGCACCGTGGTCAATCAAACGTCCGATTCATTGGAGGTCTATTGCCTCGAAGGTGAGAACACAGCCAGAACTCAAAGGCAGCCCAGAAATGCCAGCCAATTTGCCAGCTTTTATAATTGCTGATGAGCCAATCAATAGTCGAAAAACCGAAGTCCATACACAATGTATATACATATATATACATATATATATATTTATTTATTTATATATGTATGTGTGTATGAGGTAAAAATATGTTAGCCACAAATCAAGCAGTGTGCTGCACGGCCAGTTAAATGACCAGAAGAGAGTTTGAGCAGCATTGCGAAAAGCATGGTACATGTGTATGAGCAAGTTGTTGTGTTTCCTGCAGCGCTTTTTAGACTCATTTAAAATACATGAGCAACTTAAGTGCACTTTGGCAGCAGCCAATGCGAATGAGAATGCGAGTTTGTGCCTCGGGGTGTATGTGTGTGTGTGTGAAACTTCCTTCGAGATAGAACAGAATAATAAAAATGCAATGAAAGCATAAAGCTAGAGAAGGCAACACGCTGAGAGATCCACACAGAAAATGTTTTGAAATAAGAGCAGATTGCAGTTGATGCTAGAAAAGAGAATGCCTGGGAAAAGTTGCTAAGTTCCAAAAACCAAAGCAGCTGAAATAAATATAGCCAAAGCATAAAATGATGAAGTAGTTGCACACAGTACTTCTAGTGGATCCAGCAACAGAGACAGACTGGAGTTAAGTACAAATTTGTACATACAAAATGTTTTGGCTTGTTATGCAACTTGCTGGTAGTAAAAGTAAATGGAAAAGCAGCAGCAGCAGCAGCACAGTAGTAAATGCAAAAGGCGAAAACTTTAAATACAAATTCAATTCGCATATTTTATGCGCTACGGAAATGCAAAAGTGAGAGATAGAGTGAGTGAGTCAGAAGAAACTGCCAGCAAAGCGCAAAATAAGCAGCACAAATTGTTGCTGCCGAGTTCAAAGTTCAGTTCCGCAGCGCTGCATATTAGCAGACTGAAGACGTCGAGCGCCAGACGGACAAATGGAGCCAGACAGAGGACAGCAGTCGAGAAATGTCCTCACAAATTGAAATTGTAAGAGTCGAGTTTATGATGCATTTATGCGGCCCTCGGAAGCAAAGCGAATACCAGAACCACCAACAACAAGTAAGAAAGCTCTAGTCGGGGTGCCCGACTAGGAGATACCTTCGAACCCGGATTATTTACGCAACGTGCACAAACTCTACCAACACCGCCACTTCATAATTAAAAAAAAAATAAAACAATAAAAAATTTTTCATCCCCACTGATCTCGAACCGGGACCAATCTACATACGAGCCGCGCCTCTACCAACGCAACCACTGCCTTTCTTAAGCAAGCTGTTGCAAATTTAAACATAAGTAGCAGCTAATATTCAGCACAATTCAATCGCAATTTCAATTCTTGGAATAGAAAAGAATGCACGCATTTGAATGTATGTGTGCACACGCATAGGAAAAATGCGTGCGCGTGGCGCTGCTGACATGTGCTTTTGCAAATTGGCTAAGCGTTTTGTTTAATAACTTCTGTTTTACTTAATAGATTTTAATGAAATTTTCAGCATATGATCTACATACCCTATTGGCTTGGTCGAGATGCAAACGATTTCACATAATGGCCCTAGTTCCAACTAAACTTAAATTCTAAGAATTTGGGGGAATTTGGAGCCGGCATCCAAAATCTAACAAAAATCAAAATTGCATAAAATATACATAAGACTAAATACAAAATTAGGAGGCTCTAGCTCTTAAGACTTTTGAGATATAATTTATTTACTGCATTTCAATAATGTTTTTATTCGATAACAATTAAATGCGAATATTTATCGAATATTTGAAACAAACTTGACCTGCGCGTGCTATACACGGACCTACAAAAAATGCTGAGATCCACGCGTTCACACATACGGACAGACGGACAGACGGACGGACGGACAGACGGACAGACGGACAGACGGACGGACAGACAGACGGACAGGGCTCAATCGACTCGGCTTGTCATCCTGATCAAGAATATATACACTTTATGAGGTCTGCCACGCCTCCGTCTGCCTGTTACATACATTTGCACAAAACCATTATACCCTGATTTCCCATTTTTAATGGGATCAGGGTATAAAAAGCAGCAACAACAGCAGCAGCGTAAGCATACCGAGCCGGCTGCTGAAAGTGCAACAAAAAGCGCATAACTGCTTACTTAATGGCACATTCCCCATTACTGTTCGCCATCTTGACAATCCTACTGCTTAGCCTGGCTAATACCTCCACTACCGCGACAGCATTCTAACCATAAATGTCACTTGCTTCAAGCCGTAGCTCAGCTCGCTACATGATTAAATTAAGTAGTCAGGAAAATTTAGTTTTATAACATTTTATTAATATTTTTGTAAGATTTCACTATGGAGATAGATTTATAAATAGTCTTTCTTAAAGTTCTTTCTTAAAGCCTCAAATAGCTCGGCGCTTTAAGGTCGGCTTTTCAAGCATTTTATGTACATTTCGCAGACGCTTGGACCCCGCAGCCCTGCTAATTTAGTGGCTGCACATTATTATCATAGTCATCAGCATCATTAAAACTTTAACGCAACTTGGTAAGCAACAAGAGCAACACAGCCAACTCAGCAGCAGCAGCAGCAGCAACAAAACACGATACTTTTTATATTGCACTCAACATTAAAGCAAATGACGTGGTGTCCCAGCCCAGACCAGGGCGAAGCCGAAGCCCCTACGTTGGCTTGTTTTTTTCTTTATAATAGCTCAACTTAAGCTGCGGTCGCTGGACGTTTCGACTTTAATAAGCCAGCACGCAAGTTGGCCAACTTGCCGCAGCAAAAGGCGATGAGGTGAACTTGCCTCGAATTCAATTGAATGCGCTCTGCTGCTGCTCACAGACAACTTGAGGGCAAGTTGCCTGCCCCAGGACGCCTCTCAGCTAACCATTTCAGCTGGCTCTCTCTCTCTGCATCGTTCTCTGTCTTTGCTTTTTTCTTCTGCTCTCTGAGCGAAACAAAACAACGAGGCAACTAACCAAACTCATCAAGCGTCGGTTTAATATAATAAAATTTCAGTTTATAACATTTTGCTCGCTGCCGCTGCGGCCGCTGCTGTTGCTGCTGCCGTTGCTTTATTATTTTCACTCGTCTTGGGCAATTTTCATTGTAGCCTGGTCCAAGTAAATAAAATTAACCCATTACAATGAAGTTTTTTGTTGTTGTTGCCTGACTTGGCTTGGCTTGGCCCGATGCTGCGGCAAATTTCATTAGCTAAACGTTTTAAAGTGCGCACAAAATGCTTTCGGTATGGCTATGGCCAAGCCACGAGCGACCCCTGGCCACAAACAATGATGCCACACAAAGGCCTTTGAAGCAAAGGCGAAGCACATTCTTTTGACTCTATTTTCGTGCAGCCTTTGTGCTCAGAGCCACCATCAACTGCGCCCACCCCCACCACCACCCATAGCAACATACAGCAGCAGACAGGCAAAATAAGTACAACAATGCCGGCTAAATTCATAGCAACATATAAAACATTTTACACAACAATTTATCCTTGAGTTGGCATACCCCTTTCTCTCTCTCTCTCTCGCTATGCCTCTCTCTCTCTCTCTCCCTTTCTCCTTCTGTTTCGACGTTACCCCGCTGACCAACTCCAGCTGTAGTTGAGTGGGTGGTGGCAGCAACCTTTTCAAGCGCCGCCTTTATTACCAAATATTTTAACATTTTTCGCAAGTGTTTTAAGCCGACTTTTGTGTCTAGAGCGAAGTACCATTTGAGTAGCAGCAACAACAACAGCAAACACGGTAGCGACAGCGACAGCAACAACTTTAGCCGCTTATATTTCGACAAAGGGTGCTACATTTGCAAATGGTGGGCGGGGCACAAAATCCTCACTCAAGTGGGCGGCCAGTTCTTTTGTGGTGTTATTAAATGGCATTTAAAATGAAGCTTTAGATTACTTTCAGCATTTTTGTGAACTTCACTTGGGTCCCACACACAAAATAGGGGCAGGCCTGAAGGCGCGACAAAATGTTAGCACAGATAATGCAAAAGACAGTAAAAAGGGTATATTTTCAAGTGTTCATCATTTCATTACGCCGTTTAGTTGTAAATGCCAAAGAACTGGCTCCATGATTAGCAAGAAATTATAATTATTCCAAATTATCAAAAACACTTGAGTGCTGGGAGTAGATAAAAAAGTTTCACAGTGTCATCGTCTGCAATCTCCTTCTATAATATATTTATATCTATAAGCATTGTCCGTCATAAAGGGTATAAAGGGTAGCATCCAAATTGACGATCAGATCATGAGAATGGTTTTTATGATTATGATCACATCATTGTGTAGAAATGGAACTGTGGTCTTTCTTAACATCTGATTCTTAATCATATATATTTTATCTATCCACTAAATACTAATCTTTTTTTGCAGGTTTTGATGGTGGCATGCGTCAATGGTTCATGATGGAAATCTACGATCAACACAGTGGCATCCTTCAGGCCAATATCAGTGCCAAGTTTGCGGTGTTTAGCGTCAGCGGCTTGGATGCGGGTCGTCTATTTCGTATCTATATCTATGCTGCGAATGGACGCGGCCGCAGCGAACCCGTACCCGTGGATGGATACACTCTGAAGGCGGTCGAGAAGCAAACTGGTGAGTACAAGTGCACAGGGGAAAATGGGCCAAAATGGCATGCGTTGCGCTAGGCAGTTGTCAAAGACACCAGAATTTCTAATGCATTTTTATGTGCCGCGTGAATTTGGCATTTATGAATTTTTTATGTTAATGTTTTTCGCATTAGCAAATGTTTATCGACACGAATTCCGACTGTCCTGACAGTTGCATAACTTTGCATGAGATTTAGCACGTATAAAAGTGGAATTTAAAGCTGAGTTAGAGATTTCTTTGAGCTTTCTTTCTCGGGCCGTCTTGCAATTTAATTACGCTAAACTGCTCAATGAATTGTAAATTCCTCAGCGCTACAAGGAAAACTTTTGCCTTGCATTTGCCTCAGCCACACAAAGAAATAAAGGAACATTGCCAGAAATTATGCAGATGCCTGAGTAGCGAAAAAATATGAAGAAGAAATTATATAAAATGATTAACATTAATGAATTGTCTTTAGAAGGTTTTCGCCTGGTATGAAATGAAACGCCGCGCAAAAGCAAATTGTAATACTAATTAGCTGAAGCAAAATGCCGTAAAGCAAAGTTTAGACGAGCTTTTTCCATTCGCTGGGCCAAATGAGCTTGGGCTATGGGGGCGTAGTACTTGGTAAAGGCAAAGTCATTTTTTCCTTTTTTTTTTTGGGTAAACAACTTGAGACGTCGTTTTAATTTTTCATAAAGTCACAACAAAAGTGTAAAAGAAAAATGGACAAGTATGATGAGGGCATTTCAAATGCCAGTTGGCAGTTCGAAACATTGAATACCCTTTCTGAGTGCTGATTAAATTGAAATAATTTGTATAAAATGCGATATAAAACAAAGAATACATTTTAATTGGAATGAAAAGTGTTCTGACTTTTGTAGGAATTTATGAAGTCGATTACGGATAAAACGTTTCATCATGCCTTATCAAATTGCTTGAACGACTTGAAAAGGATTCTAAAGAATAGATTTTAATTATTTATTATTTTTCCGAATATATATTTAATAAAACCAATATTCATTGTACATTTAATAACTTTAAATGTCATTAGATATAGACTGTCAATATTTTAATATATATCAAGACCTGAAATTGAGATACCCTTCTGCGGGTAGTGCGAAATAAAAATTAGCATTTAGCCGTTTTATTAATGGGCAACTGTTTCGGGATGTTGCTTAGCGACGCTGTGCCTAATTAGACATTAAAACGAATCCGAATTAAACATTATTTCAATTTAATATTTTGTTTTCTTTTTTTGTTTTGTTGTCTTTAAGTCTCTAACTCACTCTCTTTCACGTTTTGCAGTTGCATTGACTTCGTACAAGGGCAGCAGCCAGGGCACTAGCAGCTTTGAGCTGACACCCATCCTATCTATTGGCATTTTTGTGGGCATTCTGGTGGCTCTGATCTGCATCGGAATTGGCACCATTGCGGCGTTGAAGCTGCGCTCGCACAAGCATCAACAGCAGCAGAAGTTCGCACATTCGAATGCGAAATTCTCACGTCCGGGCAATTTGCAAATTAAGGATAAGATCTCATTGCCATTGAGCCACTCCGAGGAGATGTACGACGAGAAGAATCCTGATGTCGTTCCCTACAACGAGGGTAAGTGCAATTGCAATCCCGGCCAATCTTCCGGTTGCCTCAAGATAAATGCGTCCGTTGGCTCCGGCTCTGTAATTTATGAGCGTTAGCAAAATAAAAAGGGGCTTAAGAACAAGCCGGCTGCCAGCCAGCCTAGCCAAACAAACATGTTCAACAGCATGTGAGTGGGTGGAAGTATGTGTTTGAGGGGCAAGACGGGCCAACATTTTTGTGCCAGCGTTGAAATATTTAAATGACAGCTAATTGCTGGCAGGCTGGTCTCAGCTGCCTTTTCCATGTGTTTGTTTGCTCATGTGTCTGCAGTCAAGTGCCAGCCCCACTTTTGTCCCTCTCGCACTCTCTCTCTCTCTCTCTCTGTGCGCCTTAAGCTATGCAGAACTTTAAGTTGGTGGAGATTTCGGCCAGTACACACGTCCTTAGCTTGATTAATGGCAATCAAGAAATCAGCGGCAGCTTTACCAGCTCAACAATTTAATCAATTTTCCTAACGTTCAGCAATTTGATGGCAAATGCCGAAAAGAAAATTGAGCGTTGCTTCAACGAAAATCACTAACAGATTTCCTCAAAAGAGGGCGGCACACGGCAGTTGGCCAGAGCCAAAAACTTTTGCCTCTTGCGCCACTTAGCAACAACACCAACAAGCCGAAACTTTTTACGAAGCCAACGTTCTCTCTTTTCTTCTCTCTTCCCCTGCTCTCGCTTCGTCTTCCAATTCAGTTGATGGCGAATATAAACAAAAATCAGCAACACAAACGCCATCGGGACATCTTTCAACAACCAGCGAGGCGGAAATCAGCTGCAAGCCAGGCGCTACAGCTGGCGTCGGCGCTACCGTTGGCGCAAGCTGCTCAACAGACAGCGGCGCTTATCAGAGCAGCAAGGTAAGTTGACGTTAGCTGATGAGCGAAAATTGAGTGTGGTTAGAATAGACTCATAGAAACTGTGCTAAGATTTCAGTTTAGAAGTCCAAATATTTCTATGTTTGCTAAATATCAAATTTTAAATTTTATTAAAACAAACGCAACTGCTTTAAAGGACGATGAGCTGCACTATGCGGAACTTTCGTTGAACAGCGCCAGCACCTCCAAGAAAAGCCAACCCGTTTTGCCAATCCAACAGCAGAAGCAGCCACAACAACAGCAAAAGCAAAAGCAGCAGCAGCAGCCGCAGCAATCGCAGTCGCAGTCGCAGTCGCAGTCGCAACCAGTCATGGGTGGCACCTTGCCACATGGATCGAGTATGCGCAAGCTGTTGCCCAACATACCGGCCACGGCAACGCTGCAGCGCCATAAGCCAAATGCGGGCGGACTGCAGAATCCGCATCAGCATGCACCGCCGCATTCGTACGACTATTTCGAGGAGCCCACGATATATGCACAGATTGATGCATATAAGACACGGGCCGGTGCTGCAGCTGTCATGCAGGTGGACACAGCGACTGGATCGGCATTTGGGCCATGCGTCTCATCGCCAGGATCGCAAGGGACGCCCTCAACCGTGTCTCCGGGCACGGTGCAAATGTATACGTTGCCCTCCCATCCCGGTGGCTATCACACGCTGCCGCATAATCACCATCAGCAGCAGCAGCCGCAAAACTCCGCCTCCATGATGCAAATGATGCATCAACAGTTGCAGCATCATCCAGCTGGCAACATGCCCATGCCACCTTCCTACCAGCAACATCAGCAGCAACAGCAACAGCAACAACAGCAGCAGCAGCAACTGGCACACGGCCAAATGCTCGTCTCGAGCAATAGCAGCGGACTGGCCTCAACGGCAGCCATAGCCAGTCCCAGCAGCTCCCTCTCCGGCCTCTCAGGCGTGGGCAAGTCCTACTCACGCGAAATAGTTACAGTCCGTACTCCATTAATGTACTCGCAGCAGGAGAGCTGCGTCTAAGCCCAGATCCTGTGCAATTGTGAGCTCCTTGAGGTTTGTGTCTAGGCTAAGCGTTGCCAAACAAAGCGAATTGAAAGCTAAAATTTGAACTGTAAACTAAATCTTCAAGCATTGTATTACTTAAACATACAAAAATGATAGGCGGACCGCCATTTGCCAGTTTTCCCCATTTACGAATAAAACGAAGCCGAATAACTCCATACTTATAACTTATAATTAAATATTTAAGAGCATGCCGTAAATTCGATTATGAAGCCACATAGATAAGGGCAACCATAAAACTTGACCGCAGAGCTACGAAACGTTACCAATGCACATATTAATAACATTTCTTTGCCAGCATACTGAATAGTGGAAAACATGTTACTGTAATTTACAACAAATGAAAATTAATACCAAAACTTCATAAGTAAATTGTGGGTAATGCATACTGATACTGACTGAGCTACACAGCTTTGCTACATATTTCGTTCACTCTTGTTTCATACAGAAAACCAACTCTGCAACAGCAGCAAATAAAATGAACTCCAATTGAAAACGCATCACAAAAATGTTCCTTCCTTACAGTAAGTACTCACACATGACAGCCACAGACGACAGCCAACAAAACCATATATTTATCTAAAAATTAATATCATAAATGCAAAAATATTTTGCACATTGACTTTGTAAATGTATGTAAATGTTTAACGAAATATATTCAAATACCAACTTAAGAAGTAAGCAGAACAATTTATATAGAAACTAAGCTCAATATGCATAAACCTTTTAGCAGTAATCACTTGAAGCTCACGAAATACAACAGAAACAGAAGTAAATCAACTTTTTGGCAATTATATTAAAAGAAGAAATTATAAATGAAATCTATTACAAAAAATTAAAATCACATAGAAAAAAACATTAATCGAAAAACAAAACACACAATGAAGTTAGTGGCAATTAGATTAGCATAAATTAGTAGTTCATAATGACTGTAAATGGCTAAAAATTAAAAGAATCTGATTGTTTTAATCAATGTGTCGTAAGTGTAAAGTAAATTAGTTGCATATTCAAATTTCAAAACTCAAAAGACTAAAAACTTGAAAAACATCTTATTAAGAGCTCTAAAAGCAATGTAAAAATTGCATTTTTTGAATATACATATAATAATTATCTATAAATAAAAGAAACAAAAAAAATATATATGTGTAGATATATATATATATATATATATATATATATATATATATATATATATATAGAAATATATTTATATCAGTGTATTTCAAGCACCCTGTATATTTATTGTTGCAACTCTAAATTTGAATTATAAAAAACAGAATAAAAAAAATAAAAAAAATCTTTAAACTCTTTAGGATAATTTGTAAAAAAAACAAAACTGTTGTCGAGCAGGGCAAATATTAAGTAACGAAAAAATGAGAAAAAAATATATTATAGATATATAAATGTGTTTTACAAGTGATGTCTCTTAAACCAATTTAATAAATGAATAATATAAATAATCAGAATTGGATCTTTGGCTAAGTGTATGTATGTAAGAATTCCAGAATGAACTTAGTTTAGCTAATTGGATAATAAATTAATGTAAACTAAATGTAAAAGAAAAAATTATGAAACAGAAAGCAAATAAGATATAAATGTATGTAATTCTAAGCACTCAAAGAGCAAATGAAATCCAAGATAACAAGTGAAAACGATAAGATGTCCCCCATACCAAAATACAAGGAATACAATAAATAAACTGAAAAATTAAATAAATTCAAAAATAAATTCGAAAAATTTTAAAAAAAATTCAACCAATTGCAATTTTACTTAATTTCATTTTTCATCTCATAAGTCCTTAAAATATTTTCTATCAGACACGAGCAGAACGTGAGGACTCCTGGGGTTGGGGTAAGTTCAACCTTGGCTGGCACAAGGCTGCCGGAATATTTTGTTGCAGCTATTTGGCCATTTAGGGCCGCTATTTGGCAACAATTTTAATGCACACACAAATTGACAATGCAACGTTGGCAGCGTCAAGGGACCTGTCGCCTGCATCTTTGGCTGTAGCTTGCAACGCGGTTGCTGAATTTGCCTCAAGGGCAGCTGGAGCCAAATAGCCTTTTCAAATTGTGCACTCAAATGGACACAGCGAGGACAGCTGGCGACGACGAGCACAAGCTCACTGTGTGTCTGCCTCTCTGTCTGTGCAAACATGTGTGCGTATGTGTAACGAGGATGAAAGAGGGAGAGAGAGGGAGCTATGTAAGGACATTTCTTACAGTGAGCTTTTTGCAATTTGGTTTTCTTCTTTTTTTTATGATTTTTGGATAGGGGGAATCCGGGGATGGTGAAACGTTTGCATGTGCACTGAAGCGTAGATCTAAAGAAATGAAAAAGCAGCGCATGCAGAGACATCACTTAGATTTGTGGCTTGAAAAGCAACGACAATGTCAAATGGTCATGTTTGACAACTTTTCATGCCTCCTCTCGCCCTCTCACTCCATCTCTCTTTCTTTACAACTTTCTAGCTGATGCGTTACTTTGTCACGCTGCTCAAAATTAACAAGGAAACCTAAAAGTGACATGCAGCAAAGTCCAAGTAAATACAGCAGCCAGGGAAATCATTGCTGCAAATGTAGACATGGTCGCTCTTGCACTTACTACTCAAATTACACTTCCCCGTCAGCCAACGTATGCGTCTACTGCAACAATATTTTTGCCTGCATTGATGTTCTTCATACGGGCGACTGGCTTCAAATTAAAACTTGAAATGCTCGCTCAATTAACTGGCAATGTCCAGATGATTTGAAATTGCTATTTAATGTCCACTTTTCGGGGTGCAACAATTCTATGGTGCATGTATGACATTTTATACATTGTAATATAAGAGTAAAGTGGATGTAGAACAGATGCTGGCCATTGCTTAAATGAATAGTCAATTAAATGATCATGTTACTGAGGCTTTAGCATATCTCTTTATACAGAATATTTGAATATATACATCTCTTGAAATAATTAAAATACTTTTACTGAACGATTGAAGTTTACTCAAACTGTTGAACGGAAGTTTGTTTCATATTAGCAAAAAGTAGGAATCGAAACCTACTTCATCATTTAATATTTCTACATCGCTGCCTTTTGCAAGAATATTTACTTATTTATCTACGGAGCCCTGCTTACCAAGCCGTCTCTCGGTTAAAGCTGTTTACCTGAGCTGAAGAAATCCTCATTTATATATTGCTAAATCAGTTGGAGCTTAAGCTCAAATTTGATGCATGTAACAATCGCGCCATTGCTGCAGCGGTCCATCACTGTCTCAGTGAAAAATAAAAACAAATAAATAAAAAACAACAACTCCGAACTTGTTTGGTGAGTCCTTTAGTCGGTCGCTCGGTGTAACTCATCCATTGATATCTGCTGGCCATTTGTTAAGCAATGCATGTAACTCATTCGGAGAGGGCATGCATCAATCTGAGAACGCAAAATACGCTCGTATTTGTTATATTTGACGGGGCATTAACAAAAAAAAAAAACAGGACAGCGTGGCGTATGCGCTATATTCATATATGAGATATCTGGGGAATTGGCTGGGATTGGAGATTATTGCAGCACCAATAGCAGGTAAATGACATCGCAGCTGGAAACCGCTCGAGTTCAGTGCTTGTGCCTGTGTCATATCAGCATGTGGGGCACAACAATCTCATTAACATTATTTTATAGCAGTAGCAAACTTTCAATCAATTTCCGCAGCAATATCCGCCAGCCACACAAGGCGCCCAGCAAAATCTCAAGCTGCGTCTCATGTGCAGTGCACTGCAGTGCTGCCTGAAAATGCACTCAACACACTTTGCGTCAAAGCCATTGTCGTTGATGTTGTTGTTGTTGTTGTTATTGTCGTTAGTCTTATTGTTATTATTGCTATAGCTGTTGTTGCCACTGCCGCTGCTGCTCCTGCTACTGGTGTTGTGTGTCAGCAGCGCCCAAGTGACAGCATTGTTTTGGGCCCTGACGCAGCTGATGCTACAAGAAATGCACGCTTTGAAGTAAACAAGCAATTTTGTGAAGCAGCAACAGCGGGAGACCCAGCCAACCCCTCCCTGGCAACCCGTAGCAACCGACCAAGAATGTATGCAAAGAGTCTAACTTGCAACATGGCCTGTGTCGACAACAGTCGAGTTCGTACTCGTACTCCCGGCTGTCAACTGTCAATGCACTCTCGACTCGTCGACTTGCTGCTCCTTTTGCTGCATTTTTTATGCTGCGTCGCTCTTTGACTTTGCCGCTTTTGTTTGGCTGCAGCCGCCCTATCAGCTATGAATTATTTTTGCATTTGTGTTGTACGCTGACAATGATGGGGCACATCCCAGACGCTGACAACAATGTCATCAACATAATCATCAGCCATCAAGTTAAGCAGCGTTCCTATATGCACATATATGTATATATATATATATATTTATATGGATCCGCTTGCTATGAAAAAATGTATGCTGGAACAGCCTCTCGTTCTCTTCAAGGCCACTTTGACTTGAGGCGTAATTAATATTACGCATACGACAGGAGAAGCACAGAGCAGTGAGCAGCAGGGCTGTCTGCTGGCTTTGGCTTTACAAAGCGTCAAGCTTTGCACAGGCTCCGGTGACAAATGTTTGGCCATAAATTACAGTTATGCATGCTATAAATATTCAAATAACATGACCAGCACCCAAATGCTCTTACAGCGACTAGCTAACTAATGATCTATTAGCCAAAACTGGAAGTTCCTGTTTGGTTTCGTTTCGTTTCTGTCCCCGATACTCATCTCCGTTGCGTGTCTTATTAGTTCACAAAGGCGAGCACGTTTCAAGTTTTATGGCAAGCAGAGTTTGACAGCAGACATTTGTCATCGGTCTAGCTATGATTGTAACTTATACGAGCAGATTCCCAACAAATTGTTCAATCTGTACATCAAATATGATTGAAACGATTTGTTGACCCTTGTGACCAAAAATTACTCAATTAATGGCATTCTCGAGAGCGTTCGGCGCAGCAGCTAACTCGTCGAATAAGCTCTCTTACGTTTTATCTATGTGAAGTTCTATTCTGCTGCGCTCTTTGACATGCCTTTGCCTCTCTCTCATTCATAAATGAGTCAGAGTTGCCGTAGAAGGAATCTTTCCGCCTGCTTTCAACATAGAGGAGCTTTAAAGGGCTGCAGGGTAAATAATTGATTTTTTGATAATAATGTTTAAATAATTTGTTATTTTCATAATTAAATAGGAGTTAAATTCTGGCTAAGATAAAGACAATAATATTTATGTCACATGTCTTACTCTCACCGCTTAGCATATTTTCATTTCGTTATATAATATATCTTAGTCTCAACTTTATCATACTGGTAAATTCTTCAACTCACTTCTATAATATAATCAGACTCCATCCAGTTGCTTAGCCAAAAACCAATAAAATCATTTCAAATTCATAATTTTCAAACGGTTCCATTAATTTCTAAGACAAACTTGATCTATTTCGTGTCAAAACTTAGCGCTGCTTTCATAGTTGCGATAACTAGAGAAAATCCTATGGAAAGTTCATCTGGTAACTGACAATCATTTATTGCCAGCGCTGCTAGCTTGTGTAATGGGACATGGGCGACAGTTTCGGACAATGCTCGAATTACGA